TTGATGAGCCCGTCTGCCAGCGTCGCGCGACCAGGGATGTGCGCCTTGTGGATCCCATATGCGAACCGATATGGTCGGTGCCGCACGCGCGGCGCAACGACGGGGAGCTCGATGTTGTGTTCAAGAGCGAACGCGCGCGCGACCACAGCCTCCCGGGTGCCAGACTTCGAGCGCGACAGCGGTGAGGGAAGCCTGAAGCGTCGTGCACACGGATATTGCAACGAGTGCGCGCCCAGGTTACGCAGCGAGGCGTAGTGGGCGAGCTGGATTATGGCGTTGTCCGAATATACGCTCATGTCGATGACAATGTCGCCGGTGACTGGATCGTCGAACGCGTTCAGATGATGGAAGCAGAAAAACGGCGGGGTCTAGTGGCGTTAGTCGACGTTTGGTATTAGAGTAAGCAGGTGCTTACCTTGTACTTGGCAACAACGCCGCCACCCGCACGGTCGACGACGTAGAAGAGCGTGTCAGCAGTGGGGTCCCACTCTGTGCTGATAGATTGCGCGAGATTCTTGTTCAGGAGGATGGAAAGCCCGGAACTGGAGCATATGACAAAGATGACAATGACAAGGGTATTGGATTTTGGGGAAAATGGACGTACAGCTTAAAGTAGGCCTGCCAGAAACACAACACAACGAACCGCTCAGTCATAGCAAACGAATGCATGTATGCTGGTGGTGCATCCTTGATCTCTGCGAGGATATCAACAGTGCCGTCACGCCCGTGGATGCGAAAGACCTTGTATGTCGGGGACGGACCGCCGAATTTGCATACAAAGTTGTAGAAGTCACCAGACTCCGCATCTCTGCATGCATGCGCAGCAGCCATGTTCCCATCGAGGCGTGAGTCGAGCTGGTCATAAGACACTTCTGCCAAAGGTTCCAGCGTGGCAGGATCGAGGAGCTGCAGTGTGTCTGCGTCGGTTTTCGCGACAAGATAGCGCGGCTGCCCCGGAGGAGTAGTAGAGGAAAGGCTTGGAGAAGGCAGACCTTTTACCAGAGCGTCCCATTTCCCAGGCATGTCGGCTGTGAGGGTCACATTCGCATTTTGTCCGCCGGGCGAGGATGTGCTTGGTGTACTGCGCCAGATGGAGAAGAACTTGCGGAAGAGGCTCTGGCAGGGATCGCGTTGTTGGCCAAATGAATAGCCTGGGTACTCTCCAGTGTCCGCGATGTGCTGCTCAACGTTCTCTGCGCCCTTGCGAGAGCGGTAGATGACACGCTGCTCACTGGGTACGATCTCGAAACGATGATGCATGGCCAGCCCGTCAAACCAGTGGTGGATGTCGACAGTCTTGCTGGGGTCCGCCGTCCTCGCAATGCGGGTAGTGCCAGGGCCTGTGCGGTAGAGCACCCCACTCAGCCAGGACGGGATCTCACCGTGAATTACGAGGTCGACAGGGTCGCGCTGCTCCACTGTATTTTCGAACCCGGGTGCACATGTACTGCTCATCATAGACCGGGCGTGATAGTAGACTAGAGCTCGAGGACGTTTGGTTGCGCCGAGATGGAGAATATGGCAGCGGCTGGGAAACGAGGAGCGCATGAGTTGCGCATGAGGCACTGGGCGGTCCAAGGCATCAGCCAGGCTGGATGGAGCAACTTAAAGGACACGTGTGCTCCTCTTCGTTCCCCAAAGTGCATACTTCTAGCATGTAGTACGCTATTTTGAGCACTCCACAGGGAGACCGTGAATGTCGACCAGGGCGAGTACAGATTCGAATCGTATGTATCATTTACATCGGTTTACGTGGTCGCGAGCTCAACTCTCCGCCAACACTCCGCGGCACGTTGTAACGTGGCGTTCAAGATCTCACTGGCACCCGACACGGGATTCAGCATCCCGAAATGTGTCCCAGGACACTCATACACCTCCACCTTATCGGTCCACTTATCCAGGTCAAATGCCTCGGATGCTCCCTGTGCGCGGGTATGTATCTTGGTCCCTCTCTCTGCCTTCATCAGCACTGTCTGCTGCGCTGGCCACACCAGTCCATCTAGTATCCCATCCTTCTCACGTCGCTCCATCTCCATACTCTCGCGAACGCCCATGAGCAAGTGAGCGGTGTACGCCTGGCGGAATCTCGCCACCCATTTCTTTTTCTGGCCACCATCCTTAAAGTGCTCCTCAAACTGCACTTGGATGTCCTCGGCGTCGTCGAGCACTCCACTCGCCACCATGTCTTTGACGACTTCCATAATCTACGTCCATGTTAGTGCCTGCGTTCGCAGGACAGTTTGAAGCGGCAACTCACGCTGTCGTCCATACTCCCATCTATGATGATCTCGCGTATGTGTTCTCGCATTTCTGGTCGATGATACAACGTAGGAGCGCCGTCTAGCATGATCAGCATTTCCACTGTTTCGCCTGCGGCACGTAACTGTTGCGCAATTGCGAGTGCAACCGCGGCGCCTGTAGAGCCGTGAGCGTCGGATAGTAATGGCCCTGGAATCAATAACATACCAAAAGAGAACCCGCCCAAGCGATACGGTCCTGTAAACTGTTTCTGCTTGATCTTCTCAAGGTAAAAGGTTGCAAGTCGCTGTAAGGTTCCGGTCAAGGGTGCTTCGGGGGTGTCTTGGACACCATACACGGGGACCTGAACCTGCTGCGCAATCTTACGCAAGACGAGGACTCCACCTCCTGCGCCGTGCACTATGAACACGGGCGAGCCATCTTTCACGCTATTGAGGCGTACGATTGTTTGATTCATGTCGTTCTCGCTATATCCATTGTCTGTAAGCGAAGGGTCTTGCGTGTCGGCGGCTGAAGTTTCCTCTGCCACAGCCTCTGCGGCCTGCTCTACTTGCATAGAGACTAGTCTCTGCACTGAAACACAAAGCCAGTGAGGCGGCTGTTTGAGGAATAGCAACATTGTACAACTTGCCTGTCATATATCCGCTGAGTAGCTGCAGTTGAGTGACATCAAGGCCAAAGCTGGACTTCAGGATTCCCCTGAGACGTGCAGCGGTAAGAGAATCGAGGCCATAGCCCGACAATGGAACAGTCTCCTCAATCTCATCGACGGCAAGCGAGAGGACCTTGGCACAGGCGGCTCGTATTGTTCCCTCGTCGGATGTGCCTGATAGTGTGGCCCCGTCTACATCTTTAGTGACCAGATGGCGTATGATCGACTGGCTTCTTGTAGGAGCCAAACCAGCTATTCCAAGGAATATATGGTTATTGCCACACGATTAGAAGTGGAACAACATACATTGAAGGGTCATCTTCCAATCCATTGTTGGAATATATACACTGTTGCGGGGTTGCGTGCCAAGAGATAAAATAGCGTCGAAACATTGTTGGACAACTTGTCTTGTGACGACGCCAAAAGACTTGTACTGAAATGATGGTGGTCAACAGCCTACGCAAACGACATCTCGGCTCTTACGAACTTTCTCCAAAGCAGCTCTTCGAGTGCCCGCAGATCCCATGCTTCGGGCCAAAATCCCAGCATCAAGCTGTAATCCAATTTGGTTATAGAAGGTTGTGGAAAGGCGATAAATGGACTTACAACAGGCGGTACAGCCACAGAAATCGTGTTCGGGAGCGTAGCGCCAATCTTTTCCATTTGAACCTGTGCAGCAGTGTAATTGGTTTGCCCTAGTCTCGCCGACTTAGTGTTGACCATGTCAAGGATAGTTCAAATTCCTACCCGGGGAGCCGCTCAGGGCGGATAAAGTACTTGTAAGCACAAGAAAATCGAGGGACGCGGGGTCGACGGCCTCCAGTAGCACTTGCAACCCTTTCACTTTCACGTCGTACACTAGGATACATGAAGTCAATTCATAAGTAGCATTCTCAACAGCAAAGATGTGGAAAAATTACCTGAATGCCAATCATCATCCGACTTCAAATTGACAAAGAGTTGATCGTTCAACCTCACAGGGAGGAAGAAGACACCAGCGACAGGACGCTCTATTGAGGCAAACAGTTCCTTGGTCTTTTGTACATCAAGGCATTCTACCGAAAAAATGTCCACCGTAACACCTGGACGTCCACGAAGATATTCGATCATCCGCTTTTCTCGGGTAAAGCTTTCATGCTTTAGAGCCTTTCAAACGGGAATGTGTCGTTAAAAAATATGCAAACGCATGAATATAAGGTATAGTTTACCTTACTTCCAGACCTCGACGTCAGAACCAAATGTCTGGCTCCATTCTCCACCAAAAATTTGGCGATATTGATACCAAGTCCTCCAACGCCCCCGATAAGAACATAAGATGCGCGCGAATTGAAAGCAGCTGTTCCAGCGATAGCGCCTCCTTTCATGACCGGAAGTTCTGTATCAATGTCCTCCAAACCTAGCACAACCGCAATGTTGCCGGAGAATTCACGGTGTGTTCTCTCGTGTGCAAGTGAGAGCTGATTCAGATTGAAGACCTCTACGGAGGAGAAAAACGCGTCGCGGACAACAGGAGGGATGTCTGCTAAGCCCTGAAAGAGGAAATCTTCCTCGGCCAGATTATTCCAATCAACAGAGATATAACGCTGGCCCCGCGGAAGCCGGTCGGGTAAATCTCCCTCGACCTGCACGAGAGTCGAATTCTTGGCCATGATCTGTATTGTCTCCGCGCCCACGCCCTGGTCAGGGTCAAAGCTAATAGCAAGACCAACACCATTTGGGGCACATTTATGCACGGCTTGAGTCCAACTTCTACAGTCGCCGGAGTCATATACGAGCCCAAGATCTGGGAAGTCACTTGTCATATCAGGAATCAACGTCTTCGTCATGGTGACCAACACTTCAAAGCCTGTAGATTTAAGATACGAGTAAGCGGTCCACGCTGCGGCAGAAAATTCTCCGGCATGCAGGATGATATGACGATTTCCGTTTGACGGAAGCGCTTTCATGATCACCAAAGAGACGAAGACCAAACGCCCAACTAATGCTGCAGCCGAAGACAATGGCAAGTCGTCCGGAATAACAGAGACCCTTGAACGAGGGCAAACGATAATGCTCCCACTATGTCCAGAGACGATCCCAAATACCCTGTATATCCGCTAAATCTTGAAAATCACCCTCTAAATGCTAAAAATCCTTACCTTTGGCCTACAAGTTGACTTTCCCCTTCGAGGCCCTCCCCGATTGCAGTTACAGTGCCCGAGAATTCGGAGTGTCCAGGGAATATTGACGACACAGACACAAACGATACGTCCACTTCTACATCCTCAGGAAATAATTCCGCTGGATAGTCCCGCCATATTTGAGTCTCGCTGAATCGTACGGCATGTGGCCCTCGGGCCTGAACGACTTGGGGCTCAGGAGCTTCCACAACTCGAGGAACAAATATAGATCCTGATTCATCAATCAGGAGTTCCGCGTGGGCCATATTGAGAGGGATCAACTTCTCAAGGATATACGCTCGTTGCCGATTTTGATCCCACGAAGAGTGGAACAACACTGCGAAGATTTTCCAAGACGGAAATTCATGGCCAAGACTTCGGGAGAGACCTACTAGAGCCGCGTTGCGGGATGTCGTGTCAGAATGCAACCACAAGGAGTAAGGTTTGGAAGCGCTCATGCCGGATACGAACGCAACGAGGTCAGGCTCATCGCCAGCAGCAAAGTAGCGGAAAACAGTCCAATCGTCACATTGGAGATTTGGTTTCGCTTTCGAGATCCCGTTCGTCAGACGTGTTGGTGTAAACGCTTGTGAAATGAAGGCGAGATGAGCGAGATGGCCGCTAGCTGCAGAAACTAGGGCAAGAGGTTCATCGTAACCAGCCAACTGAAGCGCAGTCTTCCAATATTGCAGCGACACAGGGTAATTAATCGACTCTTCATCTTCCTGACGGACAGCAGTCCATTCACAAAATGATCCGAACACAAACTCCATCCCTGAACAAAAGTCATATAGTGATCGAAAACAAGCAAGTTATTCAATAACCTTACATTTAGTTCCAATTGTGGATCTTGAAAATGAGTCACCGTCCAGCTCTATGACAGAAAGGTAACCACCAACAACGAGCATCTTCCGAAGGTTGGTGACGACCGTGCGGATGTCAGAACAACTGTGGAGGGAATCGAATGCCACGACGATATCAAAACTTGCAGGTTCCAACGTCTGCTCTCCAATGGAGACGGTCGGGTCAAAGGTTACCGAAGTCATAGTCGTCCATGGGGATCTAGCCATCGCCTTCTGAGCGAGCAGGATATCAGTATCGCTGCACACATATTCGACATAATGACCGGGGGCCAAGTTGCTGTCTACCAAAGCCTGGCCGAGAAGTTTCGTGAGATGGCCTAGCCGCGCACCAACTTCGAGGACACGTATAACGCGTTTCCCTGCTGTGATTGCGGCATTTACGAGGGACACGAACTGAAACGCAAACTCATCAAAGACCGGCTCTTTGAAGGGTGGACTCTCGTAAATGCGGTCTATAGCATCATCCTGAAAGAGCTTTGACATGGAAAGAGTTGAAGTCAATGACTCTATACGGGATGTTAGTGCTGTTAGCGAGAAGATTTTGCTATCATGATTTCTTGCCTTCGTAAATTTTGCCGAGTTGGTGTGTCAACTCCAATACACCTTGGAACTGAGACTGTGGAGACACCTGGCCACAAGGTGAATGGATAAAACCAGCGCCAAATTTGGCAATGAGATTCTTCGACCTAGCTAGGCGACGCTTGTCATCAAGATTTTCCGGAGAGAAGTCTTGCGGGAGGCATCTGCATGAATCTTCATTCAGTCATTGGTATTGATCGAAACCGAGAACACTGACGCCAGCGCCGCGATGGTATATGAGACGGCGAGATCATCGAGAGACGCCAAAACTTGAGTAGCTTCTGACTCTACCGCGAGGCCATCAAGTTCCCTAGACCCACACAGATGTGCGTGTGGCAAGGCCCATGGCTGCCAATGAGTCATATATCGAACAGAGGGTAGTGCATCTTCTTGCGAAACCAACTTGAAATGGAAGCCTTCATCCAAGTCAAAATAAGCTTTCAACACAAAAGTATACGACAAGAAAATTTAACCTTCTACCGTGAATAGAACCGACCCTTCATCATCCAATACATATGCATTGACGGTCCAGTGAAACGGCGTCCAATCAGTTAAGATAGCATACGTTCGAAATTCTTCAGGCAAAACAAGTGGTTCGAGACGTCCATCATTGCGGAAAATCCTCTTTACTGAATGAGGCAGCTTGTAGAGGCCCAAGCTTAGTCACACTTAAACAATTTGAGGATAGCGAATGAGACGCACAAAAACATTCTCATTCTGACTCCCATCGTCCAATCCTCGGAATAGCTGATTGACAATCGTTAGGAAGTGGACTTATATATAATAAAATCACTTGCCAAACTCCAACACAAAGAGATCTGTCGTAGTATGATTGAGGACTGAAATGGTATACTGATTAAGGGACACGCACCTGAAAGACACCATCTAGTAAAGCGGGATGAAAATTATAATCCGTCGCGTTCAGGCCATCGACGTGGCCCCGGATCCAGGCGATACCCTCTGTCTCATTCATACTGAACCGGTTGATTCGCATAAACCTGATATAGGAGGTTCAGAAATTACTGATACTTGAGTTAAATGGCTTACTCAGGGCCAAATTGGGCATAGTTTCGTAAATGCGCATAAATTTCTTCTTTCGTGCTCGACTGGAAACAGCGTTCGATCACTGCGTCAACATTTACCGATGTAACACCGTTTGGACTGAGTTTTGGTGGGCCGTAACCCAGTTTCCCGCGCGAGTGAACAGTATCGAACAAAGGTACGCCTCTCCTTGTCCATTCTAAGTCTCCCTTCATGGTTTGAAGCGCCGACGAGGACTTTACAAACCATTCCACCCCCTCATTTGAGACCTCTAGCGTAATTGGAGGCCCGTATTCATCAAGAATGCAAGCAGACTCAAACTTGCAGTCCCAGACTTCGGTCACGTCCGGGAATTCTAAAGCCATTTCGATATATGCAGACGCTGGTATCAAGTTCTAAAAACGTTGATGAGCCAGAATATAAGCAGGAGGGTTATTGCGCTTACGGAGCGGTCGATGACGTGTTGCGACATCCAAGATTCTGGATTGTTGGGGCCAACTCTTAGCCTGGAGGAATTTAACGCCCTCGTTGGGGGGAGAAGCCATCTCTGATAGGACGCGGGCTTGACCACAGCATTTGCACACAGCCAACGCTTTTTGTTGAATGGATATTCGACAACTGGAAGTGACTCTGAGGGATATGCGTTTAGCATGGAGAAATCAATCTAAAAGATATCCTTTAGAAACGTCACGAACGACAAAGCGGAACACAAATCTCACCGAATTAATACCGCAGAGCAGAAGACGTCCGATTGTATCCAGTAGCGTATGCAGCTCCGTCTTCGCACCTGTACTGACTTTTGTATGACGCAAGGAAGGTGGTCGAGACCCAGTGCCCATAGAGTCATGGGCGCCCATTGCTTTAATATACTGTGAGAACTGATGAATACTTATCAAGCTCTGAGAGAGATCATGATACCTGAGACAAAACCGGATGAGGAGATAATTCAACGAAAGTGACCAGATCGCCATAACAGTCTTTCATCTTGGGGATGGCTGTGGAGAACAACACGGGCAGGCGAAGATTTTTCCATAAATAATCAATCGTATAGGGCTCAGACACGAACTCGCCAGTCACGGTGGACATGGTGGGGATTACGGGAGAGTGATCGCCAGGGTGAGCAGAGAAGATCGCAGCTAGCTCCCTGCGATATGTATCTTCGCAAGGATCGACGAACGGTGAATGCACAGCCGTACTGACGCGAAGTTTCCGGGCGACGACCCCATCTACCCATTTATCGATATACATCGACAATACGTCCAAGACCTCCTCTGGACCTGATACACCAATGTCAGTTGGGCTGTTATAACTAGCCAAGTGTAGCTGCCTTGTCGCTTGACTCTCTCTTCCAGCCAGAGATAACGCAGCATCCACGTAATCGTTAACAGTATTGGCGTCGCATCCAGACATTGCAACCATGGATCCTCCCGTATTGTCAACTACTCCCAGGGCGCGACCGCGCGCAACTGCAACCTTGACGGTCATCTAAACCAGGGGGCGGCACTTCATTAGTTTACTTCTTGCAAATCGGACTAATAAGGACTCTCACTTCACGAGACGCCGCGCCAGATGCGTATAAGACAGCAGTCTCTCCCAATGAATGTCCAACAAGGGCGGTAGGTCGAATCCCAAGAGCGATAAGCAAGTCAAACATGGCAATTTGGAAGAACGCGATCGACACCGAAATGACCTCCGCGGGCCAAATGGGACTCTTTTCGAGCGGATTTTTCTGCGTATGATCTTGCATAAACAATCCTGTCTTGGATATGAATGATTCCCCGACGTATGCGCTATAAACCTTGTCACATGCGAGAATACTATCGCGAAAGGCAGGGTAGGCAGCCATTAAATCCCGCCCTTGGCGCCAGTGCTGTGGACCTTGTCCGGAAAAGCAGTAAACCAGAGGATTAGCCCGCTTTCCAACAACGGCAGGCTCTGGAAAGGTTGCTGTCTCCAAACTATGGGCAACTGCGTAAGTGCGATACGGCATCTGGCGAGCGCGACGGCCGAGATGTTCGCAGAGGGAAGGACAATCTCCCGTGAGATAGCGAGACTTATATTCCTGCATCAGCGTATTGCAAGACTTGAATGTGAGGGCGCCTTTTGACCACCAAGTCAGGTATAATCGCGGAGAAGTTTACTAGCCAACCCACCCATAGTGAAAAGGAATGGGCCATTTGCAGAACCAGATGGATGACTGGAGTGAATGGGGCGCGATTCGTGTTCGCGCAGAACAGTGTGCCCACATGATCCTTCCGATAAATATCACCTCTATGATACACTACGGAGGACACGATATGCTCACCTCCGAAACCAAAACTCGAGATGGACGCAATGAGACCTTGTTCGGGATCTTGAGCGACAAATTCTGCGGTAGTAGTAGGCACACGTAAATTATACTTCTCAAAATCAATCGTTTCCGATCCCTTTTTGAAATAGCCGTTCGGTAAAATCTCTTTGTGTCTTAGCATCAGTACGATCTGTGCACGATATTATAAATCTGCGGCATCATCGCAATTTTGGAGCAAACCTTTGTTAGTGAAGTCATGTAGGCACTATCATCAAAATCGTGAATACCCAGATACGAACCTACCACGTAAGACTATCGCACACCTGATTTCTCCGTGTCCAACATTGCTCTTAACAGATCCGATTATAATTTCCTTCCCGTCGCGACCAGTGGAGAACACTTTTCCCGCAAGATTAGCCTCGATGGAATCCCCAACGACCGTCCCTGTCCCGCGCAATTCGACAAAGTCAGCCTGATGTGGCCGAAGCCCGGCATCTTCATATGCCAGACGAATTGCTTGAGCCTGAGCCTCAGGGTTAGGGGTTGTGAGGGAGCCCATGAGAGACCCGCAAGAGGTCATCGCAGTGCCGACAAGGGTCGCATGAATGGTATCGTTATCCCGGACGGCAAGATCGTGTCGTTTGATTACAACAGCCCCGGCTGGAAGAAAATCGTGTCTAATAAGCATTACATGTGAGTGACAGAAAATATAGTTCACCCGAATCTGCGCGAGCATAGCCGTCGGCGTCGTTGTCGAATGACTTGGATATACCATCTGGACTGAGTACACCAAGCTGACTAAATGCAACAGTGTCTGCCGGTGATGCAATGAGGTTGACACCGGCAACAATAGCCTGGTCACAGTCCCCATTCCTGATTGCCTGGACCGCAAGATGCATCGCGGTGAGACTGGACGAACAGGCTGTATCCACTATGGTTGAAGGACCAAGCAAATCGAAAACGTAGTTGACACGATTGGCCGTGATGGAAAGAGAGGTTCCCGTCATAAAGTACGCTTTGTGGATAAATCAAATTGCATTAGTTGTCAAGGATAGAGAAGGCATAATTCCCGTACCTCCTGCTTGAGTTATGTCTACATCGTACGGAATGAATCCACCCGCTATAATTCTTTTAAAAGCTCAGTATGAAAGGGCACAAGAGGATTCACTTACGACACCCAACAAAAACCCCAGTGTTTGTGGCCCGATAGTCGATTCCACTGCGATATAAGGCATTGAATGCCTGATGCAGGCTGGGACGAAGGAAGAATCAGGGGAGATATGACTATAAAAAGAGCAGAAACGCACACAACTAGTTGAGTGATTAGAGCTTGTCCACCCTCCGCTTGAGTGATCCCGAACTCCTGGATATCTGCATACTCAAATTCAGGTATGAAGCCACCTTTGGCCTACGAAGTAAACAGAACCTGCATCAGGACAAGGTATATACATACGCCACAAGGTGACTTACAGTACAGGATTTTCCGGGTGCCGTGCCATGATATGCATCGGCATTCCAGCGATGCGGTGGTACGGTGATAATCCCCGATCCGCGATGCCTGAGAAATTCATGAAATTCCTCTGTGTCGAGGCCTTGCGTTTCGCCGCCAGGAGCGCATAAGGATAGGCCTATCGGTGAGGTGAGAACTATTTCCCCGTAGGTCGCGAGTGCAGAACTAGCCTACGATGGCCACTGCCTGCGGGTCAGGGTTGCTGTAGCTAGGCGCCGGCCGTGAAGCCATGTACGACTGAGCCGGATTAGGAAATAAGATGAGATGACGACTCTCAGACTAACAAGAGGAAATCTTGTACAACACTTGTTCTAGGCAGCCCCGTCTTATATGCGCAAGATCACAGGATATTCAAAGGATATCCTTCCTCCATGTGTTCAAACTTTGGGAGACAGTTGGCAGTTCGACTTGAAGATGCTGTCGCTTTCCGCAAGCACCACAATCTTGAGCAGCTTGGTCAATCATACTATTTGCTGTAGTTGCGACACACATGAGAGGTCCGGAACTCACAAGTACCGGTGAACCTTACGTCAATGTAGGTTGCCTTCTAGTGCCTCATCGGCCATCGTTGTCGTCTTCTAGACCACGACGTCTGCACTTCTATAACTACAGGTTCCTGACCAGTGCTATTACAGACACGGCGAGTTCTCACATAGTCATGAACGAGACTGCTTTGTATGGATTAACAGAACCAGCGGTGCCAGCGCGACTTGGAAGTCACATTCTCCGAGTGGACATTCTGGTAAAAGGAAATCAAAGCTGCATAAATCCCAGGTATCTCAAATGCGAACACCTCCTAAATTTTATGCGCGGAGCCCTAAAAACACTCGATCACGTATTCTCATCTTTTTTGGGATAGTGGATTGCCACTATGTACCTGTGCCTTCCCATAGAGATATCGACCTCCTACATTTTCTTGGGCAGCTTTTAGGCTTATACACGATCAATTATCTCAACTCCCTGTACTTGGGCTTCACTCGATATGGGTGGTATGTTATATTCACTCACTCTCTTCCTCTCTTACACAAAATGGCTCTGGAAACCACGGACGCCATGTCAGAACCATCTGGGCGACTTCTTTATCAGGAACTAGTTCACGAAAGCTTCAGGTTCGCCGTCAGAGCCTTACTTCTGGTGCACCAGAAGCAAACCTACTGCGCAAGATAGTGGGTCCATTCAGACTGTCACTTTCAGGACACCTTATGACCGTAAAACACACGATATTTGGAACACGCAGAACCACTCGTGATGCGAAGCACGGACAAGTACGATAGAGGCTGGGAGAGAAACATCTGGTTTGAGCTAACAACGATCCACAGGCAGACATCTATCTGAACGTGTGATCTACAAGCAGGCGGTCTCGGTCCTCAAGTTCGGACAACGCTGGGGGGTCTTGATGCAGTCAATTTGCGAGTGTGTTGATCACTGTCAAGCTAAAGTATAGCATACCGCATGACTGTATCCTGCCAATTGCAGTATAATCGTGGTTTGAAGTCCATCTTTAAAGTCGATCCCATGGCTAGTAGCGCAGTATGTATGATTTTCGGAATCACTCAAATAACGCAATGAACCCGTTCTAGAAGGCACTCTGACCTGTCACTCGTAGAATGGTCCCACAGATCTTAACGTACAAATGACCCTACGGACAGGCCTCCGCCCGTTCCTGTCTTCTCTCCCAGGGGGATGCGCAATTGCATCCTGTCTTGAGGTGTTCCAAACCACAGGCCTGGGCCGTTTCCCTCATATGATCATACAATGTCGACTTTGTTCGCCTTCACAGAGCATTCGTATCAGAACCGGGGCGGAACTCACATCCCCACATCCCCAAACCCTATGCTCACAAAGTCACTGTACCCGTGTGAAAGCTTGGCCATTTGGTGAGCTCCCGTCGTATATAAGAGGAGCCAAGTCGTGGCTGTAACGACAGTCTGAAAATTTCCAAGTCTTTTATCGAGTGAGCATGTCTTTTCCTTTCGTTGTTGTCCTATCTGACTCGTTCAGTCTACCATTGTAAACAGCATCTCGCCCCCATGGCTGTAACAGGAACAGCCCAAGGGACAGTCGACTTCAAGGAGGACGGCACTCTCACTACAAACTTCACCACCGCTGAGGTAAAGCTCTCGCCCATAGTGGGTCGATTACGGTTCCCGAACCCTATCTATTTCGCGCCGGCGTATACAACGCGGTGCTCACCTACAACGATAAAGCCTCCTCCGGCTCGTACAGCTGGACCACGACCAAAGAAGGTAGCACGGTCAAGGTGCAACTCGCCCTCAACTCTGGCTCCTCCCTCACAATCAATGTGCCGGAGACTGCGATAGTTTCGAAGACCTCGCCCAATTCTGCCCATTTCAATGAGAAGAGCCCTCCGAGTGGGTCCTTCGCTCTGAATTAAGGAAAGTTCTGGAGTCCTTGTAGCTCGCCCACACACACACTTACTAAAATTTATATGATCTGCAGACGTCGCAAGAAGACACAAGGGGGAGTTTTTGAGGTCATGTCCCCCAGATTGAGCAAGTCGAATGGAAGTCGAAAGCGCGTGTTGCATTTTGTATATCATAAGAATTTCAGAAGCCTGCGTGACAGATCATGTTGATGAACCCTTGCTTTGGCTGTGTCCATATATTGTGAACTCAGAATAAGCCAGCGGCTGTAGCTCGAGGCGACTTTCTTCCAGGCTGCGGCAAACAGCGTGCGCGCCACTGATTCACAACTCGAAATCTAATTAAGATGCCCCGCACTCTCTCCGTTTGGACAGCCTTCTCCCCCCTGGTGAAGACATCTATCGTGATTCTGCGAAACGCTGGTCCGTGCGTTATCATCGATTGTATTCGGACTCAGGCACGCGGCGTCTCTGAAGATTCCCCCGCATGTATATACGTAGTACGTCACGGTCTTTTCGTTCGTCTCCCTCAGGTTGTCCGCACTGCACGCTACCACCTCATCAGTTGTATAACACCTCGGTTGACAAGGAAACACAACGTCTAACGATGAGCTTGTCCGAAATGGTGGGCGTACACTGCAAATGACTCCCACCATGCCTTGTTAGCTTTTAAGTATTAGAAACGTGATGCGTATTGAACTTTTGAGGTAGAACTACCCATCATTCGAGCAGCAAACGCATCATCGGTACAGAGAGACCCTATGGAAGGCAAGGAGTGGATAAACGAGTGGTCTCCGGCGTGCTACAAACAGGAGCACCTATGCGCACACCGGAAGAAGGTGAAGACGACAGTAACGACTAAAAGGTCCCCCAAAGCCCAGAGAACGTAGCATAGCGGAAAACGGAGCGTGGATATCAGCGGTGTCAGGATCATGTATGCGAGAAAGCACATCTAGGGTGATGCAAAGTGACTGTCCTAGAAGTTCAAGCAGAGTCCCGTGGTATACTGGATGCAAAAGTAAAAGGATCATCGGACGGTAACGCCTGACAGTCGGAGGCCAGACCGCGGCGCCGTTTAGGCTAGACTGAAGCCCAGTGCGGCGACGACAGCTGCAAGACCGCCCAGGGAGGCAACGACGCGCTCGGAGCCACTCTTTGTCGTGGTCGAGGTCGCAGCAGCGCCAGAGGTAGAGGTCGAGGTGGAATTGGTTGTACCGCTCGTCGGGGTAGCGGATGCGGCGGGGTATGTTGCACCGAGCGCCTTGATCTCAAATGGCTGGCTGGTCGCGTAAACCTGTAAACACGACAGTGCTTATTGAGCAATGTAGATGAAGGCCAGGGGGAGTAACAACTCACGTCGGTGGCATTAAGCGAATTGGATAAAAGGATGGTGTAGCCATCGGCGGCAGGCATGGTGACTTGGTACTGCGAGATGGCCTCGGAGCAATCGTAATTGGGCTGTTGGGCAACGAATGCGAGGGGCTCGACGAGAATGTCTGGGTTCGAGTTGGCGATGCTGGCAATGATCGGTAAGACATACGTCGGATTTGACAAGGAACTCCAACTTACGAAATCGTGAAATTCTCGTATGGCGACGTCTTGCACGACCAGACGATCACGTTCTGCGACTGAGCCACTAGAGGAGGGGGAGTCGCAAAGGGGGTGAGCAAGCAAAGGGCGGGCGATAAGGACAATACACTCACCCCACCACAAATTAGGACCGCCGGGGGAGATGATGGTGAGCTGGGCGGCGGCACCAGAGACGAGGGCGGCGAGGGCGAGGACAGAGGCAGCGAACTTCATCGTGGCAGCGACAAGGGCGGGGTGAGTCGAGGGCGACGATGGGAACGGCGGCGGACGGACCCACGTTGGTTTTTACCAGCCAGGCGGAGCTCCAATTTGCCGGTGGCTAGCTGTCCTTGTTCGGCTGGTGACCTGCACGCAGACATTTCTCATCGCCAGACTGTCCAACGGCTGATAGCTGCCTGCTGCCGTCCCCACTCAGCATTAGAACGCGGGAACGGCATGCTGCTCACCGCATGGTGCGTCCTGCAGTGTCTTGCTTGCCGTATCAGACCAATCTACGTCGTGCATCGTACCGGAATAGATTGCGGCAGCTGCTGGTTGCCATCCGCCTTGTTTCTCGACGACGGAGCGGCTCGTCTATGGGCGTATATGTGAGCATGTCTCGATCTTGGCGGATCTTGCCAATGTGCGTCGCAGACGCCCCCACAGCAGCGCCCACCGGCCCTGGCTCGATGCGCAGCTGGGCAGACGCTTGCCATCCCATTTCATTATCTTGCACAAAAGCGTTCGCCCCTTTCTCTCCGACAGTTGTTTTCATAAGCTTATCCACACATGCGGCTCTATAGGCAAATAGGGGGAGGAGACTATGTCATCTCTGGACCAGGCGGGGCCTTCTCCTCGATCGCCAAGTGGACTGTGATTCCATTTATCTTCTTGTGTGGACGTACTTAGTAGAAGCACTGCAGCCCGCCCAAGCTTACCAGAAGTGCCATCTAGTCCATGCATGGTACTTATGTGTGGTGAGACGCGCAGTAGTTTCCCTGCATTTCAATTACCCACACATCCCCATCCGCATCATGATGCAAAGGGAGGGGCCGCGCCTGGATGTGAACTATCCATCTTCATCGGAGTTCTCCACGAGTCATAGGACACCAGTGTGTATTCGCTCGAATTTCGGCCGCTCGCGCGGAGTCGTTTTAGCTGACGGCCAAGTCATAGCCTCGTAATAGATGCTTCTGCGGGATATCTATGCTGATCTTCTCGCAGCGCTTCTTTGCACTCGTCACGTCTAGCTTTGGGCGCATGCTCCGGCCTAACAGCAAGGCAGTACTCAGCCAACAGGTATTCGTCCACAATCCAGCAATCAATCACCAACATCCATCATATCCGATGTTTTTCGCCGACCTGACAGTACAGCTCTTCGCTCGCCACCCCTCTCAAGTGCCTGCGGTACCATATAACGTGGGATGTGGCGGCAGCTTTCATTTCATACGGAACTACGCAAGCACAGTGCGCACACGTGTTCAGTGCGTTGATAAGGGCACCCCTCCTGCAGCTAGACTTTCGCGACGACACCCTGCACGACCATGACACTGACCGCAGACCGCTATGCTGCACCCCCACACAATCACGACACGCTGCCTGAATACATAGACTGGCCTCATATCTCTCCCCAGAGCGTCGCGAAAAACGTCGATCTATCCAAAAGCCACCTTGGCGCCACGCTCGCCGATGACTTCTCTCCTCAAGACCGGTCGCTCGTAACCTCCAGTATCCGTATCTCCGTTGTGGACGTCGATCTCGAGCGGATGAGTCTGCTGCTGCCATATCCCAACAGTGATCATAACTTTGGCGTTCCGTTCACGTTCCATATGACGAAAGCTACTATCTCTCATTCGGTCGCTATTCGGTCCGTTCGTCTATTTCATCTTGGCTGGATTTCTGTGCTCATGCCCTGCATCTAGCTTCGCAAGCGGTGTGAAGGCCGTTAAACGCATCATCCCCCGTACTCTCAGAAAAGTCACCTCGCCCGTCTTGCATCGTCAATCTGCGGACGCAGCATCGTATCCACCACGCCACGCAAGCTTACACAATCTACTGTGCGTTTTATCCCCACGTTGATTATTCAACTCTTTAAATTAAAATCTCATCACTCAGGTCGCCATCCCATGACTGTGTAGCCTGTCAAGCGCCAATTCACGGCGCCCAAGTCCGCCTCTCGTGCGGACACTACTACGACGCATTATGCCTCCTCGCGCTCGTCGAAGCCTCCACGCGTGACGAGTCCCTCTTTCCCCCGAGCTGCTGCGGCCAGCACATTCCCGAAACGTCCTTCCGCCAACACATGCCGCCCTCGCTCGCAGCAATCTACGACGAAAAACACGCGGAGCTCAGCACTATCTGCCGCGTGTACTGCGCGAGCCCTGCCTGCAGCCGCTTTCTCGGCGCACGCGCAGACGAGAGCGCGCCCACCGCCCCTGTGCTCCGCTGCCCCTCCGCCTCATGTGGCGCACACACCTGCAGCCGCTGCCGCGCCGCGGTGCGCTCCGGCGAGACCCACCGCCACCGCTGCGGGTACGACCGCGCGCAACGGCAGCTGTTCGCACTCGCGAGCGCACAGGGCTGGGCGCGCTGTCCGGCGTGCGAGCACATGATCGAGCGGCGCAGCGGGTGCTTCCAGATGACGTGCGTGTGCGGCGCGCGGTTCTGCTACCTGTGCGGCGCACTGTGGAAGACGTGCGGGTGCGCGCAGTGGGAGCGCGTCGAGCTGTCGTCCTCTGCGTCGTCGGACCTCGCGTCGCTGTCGAGCTCGGCGTCGGACGAATCGGACGAGTCGAGCCTCCGCACCTCGCTCGCCTCGCTGCATGCGCAGGGCGCGCCACTACAGCGCGATCCGCACTGCCGGGCTGCGGCGGACCATGGGACAGCCCCGTGCAAGTTGTGCAGCTTGGAGGGATACATGGACCACGGGAGACACAAGCTGCTGGACGAACGGCCCTTGCCTCCCCTGCCGCCTTGGGACGAATCGGACATGTTGGGATTCTGCCCATTTGATGCGAGTTTTGGCGGAATCCTACATCGAGGCCTTGTCGCTCAACGGGCGCGGATGCGCGGGCACGATGATCTTTTTCTGACGAACAAAATGCCGAGCAGTGACTCTTCCATGTCTGACGACTGGAGTATCTGTTAAAATCCGCCTCCGGCATCAGCACATACGACGACCTTCCATACTTGCATACACTATTTAATCTGCCCTCTACTCATTTTCTACTCATAGCATCAATAATCCTGTATCTCAATACCTCTTTACATATCGAATGCGTTCCGCTCGTTCCCTGATCGAAGAAATTAATGTCCCTCACGATAGATCGGCACTCAGACCCATTGACAATAAGGGGATCGAGAGATTGTGCTATGGAACATCTGGCTATTGGGTAAATTCTCGAACGTGTTGGAAAGTGTTGAGCGCCAATGAACCGGAAATCAGCATCTTGATATAAGCAACAGGCCCATCTTCTTGTCAAGATACATATATACTTAAGGTCATGATGTCCAGCCTCTCAACCGTGCCACAACACCCTTGATTTGTTCTTCACTGTCATCCTTCTCGCCATCTTCCTCTTCGTCATCACCCCGAGCGTCCTCTTGATCTTGCTCCTTGTCACGCACTGGCTCGAGCATCTTCGTCCTCCCCTCAGCATCCTCCTCCTCCACCCACTTCCTCCACCTCGCCAGCGGTGCCCACTCGACATTCAAGGCTTCCACAATATTTGATAGCCACCCGAGATCCGCCGCGAGCTGCGCAGCGCCTGCAGCCGTCAGCTTTGGGATGCGAGGCAACACCTCGCGTGTCAGTTTAGCCAGCAGCGTGCGCGCCAGGGAGGCCAGCCACGCCGCGGTCACCGCCTCTGGGGAGAAGTGCAGATCGTCGATGTTTGGTACAGTCGGAATGCTCGCCTGCAGCTGCTGCTGCCCGGGTATCAACGCCAGCGACGCAGAGCGGCGTGCTTTCATCTCGGGAGGACCGTGCGCAGCAACCGGCGTAGATGGAGGCAGCGGCTCGGCGAGCGCGCGCAGCGCTCTGGTTCCGATATGAGGGAGCGTGGCGAGCGATACGGCCAGTGCATCATCGTCCGCATACACCTCAAACAGTCGTGGAAGGCTTAGCAAGCCCTCGGCAACACGAGCCATCGTTGGGCTTGGACTGAGCGAGAAGGTCGGGACGCGTACTGCGCTCGTAGCCCCGGCTCCGGAAGTGCCAGACGCTGGCTGTCGCTTTGAGGCGGGATCCGGCGCAGTCCAAAGGGAGAGGGAGGCGTAAGAGGCCAAGTGTGCATACAGGGGGCCCAGAATCGTGCCCTGCAGCGAAATTTGACAAGCTTCTGCTAGTGAAGTTATGGCGCTCCTTCCGCCTGTGAGTAATGGTGGAGTGGATAGAGTCAAAGGAGCAGTGGACATGAATGATCCACGGCGGGCATCTGGAGAAGGTGGCACGCTGGGCGGCAATTGGAGCTGAAGCGATTCAGGATCGACGCTGTCCAGAAGGGCATGCAACGCTGCAGAGTTTAGCGTCGTCTGCATCAACGTCTGCACTGCCCCTTTAGTCGTCCCTCCAGCAGGAGATCCGTTCGGATCCTGCCTCGCTGCCCTAAACACAGTGGATATCTGCACGAGGCTAGTCCGCAACCTTCCCTCAAACATCGCAGTGCGATCCAGCAGGGCACGAACAACCTCGAGGACATGCAATAGCGCCTGTATCTCCGCCCAATCATCCGCTGTATAATCAAGATCTGCCAGCTCCTCTTCGGAGACGCTTGACTTGACGCCAGATTGAGATGCACTTCCAGCCGCCTTGCGCGAGATATCTCCTCGACAAGCTTCTGCAAATCCGGAAAGGAGGTGATCCACAGCATCTACGAGGCCCGTAGCGCCATACCCGTGCGTGAATACTGTGCAGCGCGTGATTGCTTCTTCAGCCGCGCCATACACGTCCACAGCACGCTCTCGAAGAATTCGAGCACGATCAGAGCCCTCGTAGCTCATGGGTGTTGTGCGAACGGCAGCCGCAAGTGCGTCGTCCAGGAGGCGCCGTTCGAGCATAGCATATTCTGCTTGCAGATTAGCGAAAGGCGCAAAGAGCTCCGTGTCCCATTCGAGGACGAGCGGTAAGGTCGTGGATAGGTTGGCTCCGAGCATGTTGCCACTAATTGACGCGCGCCGAGAAGACGTGCGGCGCGACATCGACATCGACATTCGTGACGATTTGCGACGCAGGTGTCCACGCGAGCTGTCTCCTTCAGTACTAGCAGAAGGAATGTGACCCATCTTCTCAAAGATCTTTTCTACCGCTAAAGCAAAATCCTCTGTTGCCCTGTAGGCGATAATGAGTTCGCGCAATGCAGTAGCACCATAGTGCGTGGACACTAATGCCAGGCGCTGGGAGAACGTAGGTTGAAGCGCCGATATTGTCGAAGTGATCAATGTCGATAATGTCTGTTGAGGGTCGGGAAAGATAGCTGGGATAGAGGTGCGCTCCGTCTGAAGGATGGAGAGAAAAGATGCATAGAAAGTTGGCAGGAATGAAGAGGAGAAAACTTCTGTGGAAGAGTCGGTGCCCGGTGCGTTTTCACGCAGCCGCACATTTTGCCAAGCGTCCACGAGGGATGCACGACGAGACCCATAATAGTAATTCCGAAATTCAGCCTCCCGCTGAATATTGCTGAAGATCCCAAAGTAATTGCGACACACCGTAACGTCCTGCGAGGATACCGCCGCGACAAGGGCAGAGCTCAATGCGGCCTCGAGCTGATTCTGTAAGCTGACCATCAGAGTACGCCGGCTTTCATATTCTGGCGTGTTTTCGAACACGGCCATGCTATTGCTAGCCTCTGAGAGCCGTTCCGCAGCCTTTTCGTAATTCTTCTCTCCAAGCAACGAAATAACGTCGCTCTCCAATGTTCCCCAGCTCTCTGCTTCTCGCAGCACCTCTCGCGCTGCCTCCATGTTACGCTTCACCGTATCAAGAAGATGAAGCTGCTCCAATGCAGCATCCGTCTCTGTTCCTGCAGAGACGGTGGATTTGGACTCTATGACGTGCAACACAGACCGCAGAGAGAGGGCACCGTCTCGCATGTAATGCAAATCGTACGTGAGGCGAGACGCACCACGCGAGACGTCCTCGATGAGTCGCTCGACCTCCGAAGATGTGTCCTCGCTCGCTATCTCGAGCGCACCAACGAGACTGGAGATGCGGCGATCCATCTCAGTGAGCTCCAGCGCACCATCGCCTCCGTCTCCGCCTTCCGGCGTGAGGATCTCGTTAATCCAGGACACGACGTCAGCGTGGCTTTCGAGCGATGCCAGGAGGTCTGGGGAGGATGGCGCGGCGAGGGAAATGAGCGAGGGCTTGAGAGGAGGTGTGTTCTGCATGGTGGGAAGGTCCTCTGGGAAGCATCGTTGAGCACGTTGCGGCTACTTTGGCAAAGTCGCGCACTTTTACTACAACAACTTCTGGATGAGCATGGAGGGAAAGGTCCAATCGAGCTAGTTCTGCGCCACCTGCCAGTCTAGACGGCTGAAAGGACGCAGCGCAGTCGAGACGTTCAAATCGATGAGCGGCTGTCGAGTTTCTAATAGCTATGTCCACAGACTGCCTTAGCTTGATTTGAGAGTTTGATGCCGTTGAGAACAAAAGACGCAGGCGACTCCAGCGAACAACAGAGACAAGGTAACGGCGATGTACGAATAGCAATGAAACCTGCGAGCGCCCATAGGCGACTGGGGAAGCGCACTTGCCCCCTTTCTTCAAGGGCAATAACAAGGTCACGATCTACCTACATCACAAAATACACCATTCAAATCTAGACTACAAACCACCCTAGCCATGGCCCATGAAAGTTCTCGCAAGACATCGAAAAAACGGCACCAATATTCGGCTGGCTCATCCAAAGTTGTACGGACGTATGTTTTAGCAGACCGCATCGAAGCAGCACACGCGAATGTAAGTCATATCATAATGCATGAAAGCAAAAACAATACATGGTAACGGCCACGAGTAGTCAAAGGTTTTACGTGTCTCAAGCCAGTTTTCCCAGCTACGCTCCAACAAAACCACAGTAAAGCATATGTCCAATCTAGAACGTGCTGGGCCTGTGCGCAACAAACGTAGAGCGAACCTTCGACACACGGTGAGGAAGGGGGAACTTGAGCTTGGGTGTGAGGAGCTGCTTGATATAAGGTCGGCGGACATCCTCGGTCTTCTCAACCTCCACAACACGGAGAATCTGTCCGACAACGAGTCAGCCTCATCATGAACCAACGCACCGCAGAGGCATAAACACACGTGAATAGACCGGAAGCGGGCACGGTGCCTCGCGGCCATGTCTTGGTAGAGGCTCTTGACCGCATCAGCGCGAGAGAGCTCACGGAACTCCTTGTACATGTTGTGTGTACCAGAGCGAGAATCATAGCGAAGCCAGATGCCAAAGTTCTTGACCTTCAAGGGCTTCTTTTCGTGAATCTAAGGGGCGTATCCAAGAAGACGCCAATCAGTCCCATTCCGCCTGCCATTTGAACGGCTGCAAGGGATAATGATACACACAACGTTGACGCCAATGATCTCGCCACTGGCTTTCTTGACTTTCTTCAATTGCCTGTCCAAAGTTTCAGCCTAATGGTTGTGATTCAAGGGATCTTACCCAAGTGCATAATCAGGAAATACACCCACCTCAGGAAGTACCAGAAACGGGACTTGGCGACGACTTCGTTGGGCGCAAAGATGCGCATACGGTAGATCTTAGGAGTAGGCTCGGACTCCGTGGGCAGATGGCGCCCAACAACCTGGAATTCCTGGAGAGGCATCTGGGACACAAAACAAGGTCAGTGACCGTCATCCAAAGAACATACAACGCATCCATCCTGCCCAGCAACATCCACACGTCCAAAACCAAGCGAGAAGCGGGCACACAGCATCGGAGTATAAGACTCACTTTTAAAACTAGCTTACCGTTGAAGTTGGCGTGGTGGATATCGTCGAGCCCGGCGTCGGGGAAGCGGAGGTCAACGATGAGGAATAGGGTTTGGGAAACTTCCGCTGACTTCGAATAATTTCGGCACTATCCGGGCGCCTGCACGGCAACACTGAAACCAGTGGCATCTGTGGCATACTTGAAACAAAGATGATGCTCTCATACCAGGTCCTTGTCGATTAGTGGTTAGATCATCACGTTGTGGCGGTACATCCGAACCGCAAAACCGTGAAGACGGAGGCTCGAATCCTCCCTGGGACATTGTTTTTGTCAAATTGGATGACCGCGCTCTTCAATGAATGCATACAGCCGAGCCTAAACGACGCCAAGAAATCCTGAGTTTGTTATACTAGGTGAGAATGTATATACAAATAATGGGCGTATAAAATGTCCTCTCAAGGACTGACCATCGAAGGCATTGAAGATAAACGCCCGAGTTGCTGAAGTTCTCCTGCAGTCCTGATCGGAAGGTCAGCTCGGAAGTAAGACGGCACTGGGGAGCCACTGAGGTCTCAGTTTTCAATGTTACGATCTTCCTGAGCCCAAAGCCAAAAAAGTAGCACCGTATTAAGACAAAAAGTAAAAATACACGAGTACTATTATACACTATCAATATACAATATCCTCCAAGCGTCCAAAATACACCATCTGCTACAAAACCAACGGGAGATTTTTGCAATTGTTACGCGATCCGATCAAGATCGTAGTTGCGTCGATGTGGGGTATCAATGTCCTGCATTTCAAAGAGCTCGGGGACGACCGTCGGGGAGTCGTCCGGGATTTCCTCAATGTCGACTTCAGGAAGGGTCTCGAGATGTGTGCCCGGTTCGTAGTCCATCATGTGGGAGGTAAAAAGAATAGTCGTGGAATTTTGGCTGTCATTAGGGTTGGTGGCGAGGCTTGGGTGCGCGCTCGCGCTCTCGTGTAGATTCAACATGAGCCGTGACATCATGGTGACAGACACGCTGAGAAGATAAAGGATATCCACGGTGAATTACGAGCAGAAATCCTGCGGAGAGGTCCACGCACCTACTGGCGAATGTGGAGAGCACCCCACGCAGAAGGGGCTGGATATACGATGAGCGTCAAATAAAGGGACTTACAAGGCACTCATCTATACCTGTAAGAACTGCGCAGTGTCAGCGACGGGGAAAACATGCATGGGAACTGGCCGTACATAGAATGTCAACGTGTTGGCGAGATTCACGGAGGCCATCACTCTAGAAAAGGTACGGGCGGTTAAAGAAAAATGCTGGAGGCCAAAACCGGCGCCGTGCTCACGCAAAATATATCGCGCCTATCGGACACAATAGGCGTTAGTCGGAGGACTAGATATGAAGGGAAGGACACACCATCTCTGAAAACGAGGGTCAGGATACCATTGCGGCCGGGGAGGGGGGCGTAGAGGTGGCGATCTTTCCATGTCTTGTACATCGTGAGGCTGAATATCATCACGTCGTACACAAACAATGATTCCCAAGCCACAGCGATGCCTGTGTGAGTTGGCCGTCATTACATCTGATTGACGCGGTAAATCAAGACTTCAAAACTCACGTATTGCACTAGAGAGCGAATGGTACGACCGATAGATTAAAATAGAGTTGCTTAATGCATAAGATTTATCGACAACGTACGTGATGCGAGAGGCAGCATAATGGCATCCCCCACTCAGTGAGATGCCTTCATTCTGTCCGGTGACTGCGTACTGAGAAAAGTGGTTTTTTTAGAAACTTTGTAGGGAGATCGTCAGGTGGTGCACCTGCTCACAATTGAAAGCCCTGCCAACGTGATACCTGTTCCAAGGACAAAGGCCAAAACGCGCTTGTCTTTGCGATAGACCGCATAGATGCGCAAACATAAAAGTACTGTTGTGTCAAGGCTGATAAGTTACGAGTTCATAGCAACAGCTCATCAGGGAGAGCTTACCGCAGACCACAACCTGCGCGCCTATCAGCAGTATTTGCCGGTACAAGCCATAGTCGCTGCAACTAGTAAAGCGTTATCGACATGGTGGTGATGCCGTTGCATAAACACGCACCCCTAGGGAGGCGGAAACGTCAAAAATGGCTATGAGACAAGGAAAGTGCACTGACCTTTGCCGTTTTAAATTCGTAAAAGTTTCCTACATTTACGGCAATGTCCTAGGACCAGGTAAACAAGCGCAGGGTGCAGTTGCGACAGTACAAGACTTACGCCAAGAGCCGTGAGATAGCGATTCAGACAGAATAGCCAGGACGCTCGTGATTTCGGCTGTCGCCAAATTCGCGCATACTCGTCTCCAAACGTCAATGCGTAGTCGTAGTAGAATATGGCTGCTGTTCGTTAGCGAACGCGCCAAATATAGCATCTGTCCGCTCACGCACCAATGCCAGCGAGATGAAGGTAGTTGTGGAGGTATCTGCAGACGAAACGTACATGTCATGCTTTGATAGCTGGAACGAAAGCTGAAGTCACTTACACCTGGTTTATCGGGTAGGCGTCGCTCATAGCGGGCTCTGTGGCATCGAGCTCAGTATCCAAGCCGGTTGAGGATGATGCCAGCAGCTCGCAGCTCAGCGCGCAATCGACATGGTGGGGAAGGGTATGACCGAGCGCGAGGACGGTACCTTATATTGGTGCTGGCCTGGAGTGCCCAGATTTGCTCGCAGATGTAGCATTATTGATAGAACCATGCCGGCCGCATGGGGCGTGAGCCTATCATATTGAGGGAACTTTGTCAGGCCTCGAGGCCTCTCCGTGAATACAAGGGGACCCCACTGTGATCCATCACCGCCGGCAGGAGCGCCCCGCGAGCGATTGGTCGCCTTTGATGATTCACGGCTGGAAACGCGAGGCGTTGACACGATTCGGATTTGATAAAATGGGGTGGACGGCCTGGGACTGGCTGGAGGAGGCCGGATCATCTTTGCGGCAGCATTTGGTGCTGGGCAGTGGGAGAGCCTGAGTCCGCAGGAAAAGACCCGGGTCGTCTGATGCTGATCCACTTCCTTTCCGTGGGACAAGGAGAGACGCCGGATCGCAGATTGGTGACTTCTTCGTCTATCCATAAACTGAAAGCCTCAGCTTAGTCTTAGCACACTGAGGCAGATGCGGGGGAGGATAACGGATATTCTGACCAGTTGTAAATCTACAATGCACACCTACCTGGCAACAGAACAAACAGTGGCACTGACGTCCATCTTAGTAGCTGCATCATTGATGTTACGAACTGGGTACGAGCATGTCTACATACAGCATCACCAAATACGCGTTCCGTTGCCACTGCTCAGGCGCAGTCGCTCGCGCTACACCGTGCTGTGCATATCGGCGATTATGCCCCAATAACAGGATGCTCGTCCATCCAGCTACCCGGATAGCTTGCTGCTGCAACTAAGGATCGTCGGCTTTCCTTCGGGCCCTTGGGTACATGCAGCGTGATCGTAAAGTTCAAGGGGGAAACGGCGCACCCGGCCATAGCGGATGATTTTACAGCGCAGAACATTCCTCGAATAGGAAATGGGTGCTCAGGCTGCTACAAGCCGTAGGAACAGCTGTGGTCAGCAGAGCGCGCGTCACAAACATGGCTTGAATTCTACCACGACTGGTCTGAATCTGGCTCAAGCATCTCATCACGGGACTGCTGTCCCGTCGACTCGAACTAAGCACTCACTGGTCAAAGGAGGATATGGGAAAGTGCCAATACACCGAGTAAGCCAACATCACTACCGCTATCTTGAACATATCATATACGAACTACAGTTAGACAGATGGGTAGGTTGCTACTTGGAGGACACCGACATAGGAGAGGCAACATGAGCGGCAAACAATGGGAAGTCTGCAAGGGAGAGCAGAACCTGAAACATCGTCAGCAGTCATCCGGGGAGTACATCTATCACAATCTGTCATACTCGAGGAAAGATTGCGCGTCAGCGCTTTAACTAAACGCCCGCGACCAGTTGCGAAGTAGCTGAACAGCACAAGCCAAAGCCAAAGCCAAAGCCACAGTATCACAGCGAACAAGAAGGGTTGTGGAGGACTTGATATCCCCGTCGCCTGCGCATTTAAGTTCCGCAGAAAGCCCCGTGTCGCTGGCCTGCTTGAGTAAATGGGCCTCCGGCACAAGGAGTGGTACACGCCGGCAGCCACAAGCGCTGCACAGCGCCTTGGCACATCCGAATATCTGTCAACGTCATTTTCAAGGAAGAGCGCAGTAGCGACCACGGACGGCCTGGCAGTTTGGTGTAAGTAATCGATGTCCGGCGAATGCGACAGTCGATCATGGATTGAGAGCACGGTTTTCGCTGAGAGGGGATGAGGCACAGGTTGCCTCGAGTTCGCAAACCAGTGGTGCAGAGATGCCGCGTCCCCCGAAATGGCCGATTCAGCCTTGGCGAAATGAGAAATGGGAACCAGATAAAGCAACCCGGATCACAGAGCTTGCATGGAGCCGGAGACGCACGGCCTAAGCTATTTTGGCTAACTAAACTTACTGCGAGCGACGAAGGCCGCGGCGGCAGAATTGGTGAGAGAGGAAGTTTTTCATGAGAAAACGATGCGTTGTTGATTTGCAACCTGCCCTGGAGAGCGAAGCAGCCCTAGCGTCTGCATACACATGTTACGGTGGCAAACTTGGCTGGAGCAACGAATACCAATTTGCAATTGCACTGCAGACAGAATGCGACGGTAGAGTTTTGGACGTGTTAACCATAGCGCGAATATGTTTCAAGACGACTGGCGTGCCATTGTCATAGGGATCTTGGCAGATCGTTCAGAAGCAGCTGGCATAAGCTTGCCCGAGTACAAACTGATAGAGGTTTGCGGGACACGACGTAGGCGAGGCCACGCGAGTGTCTGGCAGGGAGTATTGACAGCGTGGGCACAACGAAGAGATGTTCGAAGCATACTTAGAGATGTCTTGCGGCGACGGAACGAGATGTGACACGCCCAGAAACCATCCAAGAGAGGAGCGGCGACAGTCACGAACTGGTACAACTAAGAGGACTATAGTTCGCGCACTGATGCCTTTATCAGGGTATCGTAGACGCGAATCGGAATCCGAGTCGCGTCCAATCCAGGTGGCGGCGAAATCACCTCACGGGAACCGGTCCACAATTCGGGGACTGCCACTTCCCAGTCCTCCCGCACAGGCAGTGTATCTGTAATCAAGGTAAGCAACATTCAAGATTTACAAACTGCTATCGGCGTTCAGAGCGTCGTCGTGCTGCGGCCAAAAATACGATGCACGGATGTCCACAATGTTGCCGGCAATGTTCGGTTAGAGGCTCTCTCGATATGAGTCGAGCCGCACTGATGTCGATCGCTAAATCGGTCAATCCAGAGACAAATCATGACGGTCGTCAGGCGAGCAATGAGATGGAGCATACTACTATATCGATGACAGTGAAGCTTCCGAGGCCAGAGGGGGAAAGTTGGCCAACTCCCCATCAGATGATATAGGCGGTGCAGAGGCCATATTCTCGCTTCGTCTCGACTGGTGGCCAGTTGACTCGCATGGACGATGGAAGGAAGGAAGCGGAGAGGCGGTGGACGAGTGACAAGGCGGCAGCACCGCCCAACAGCGCATGACGCCATCGATGGTGACCGATTGTCACCCGTCACATCCCGTGACTATCGTGATCTTTGCTGATTGCTCATGATCGGCAGTTGCCGTCCCATTCTTAAGGCCTCCTCTCTCGACACCACTCCTCCTTCTCTCATCCATCGAATCCACCATGTCGAACGTCTTTGTGAGCCGCATTTCTTCTAGTTCCAACATAGTGCCGCACGTTCTGATTACCCCCTTTCTCCTTAGTTCGATATCACGGTCGACGGCAAGCCTCTCGGTCGCATTGTCTTCAAGCTGTACGACGATGTCGTCCCGAAGACGGCCAAGAACTTCCGTGAGCTTGCCACCAGCGAACACGGCTTCGGCTACAAGGGCTCTGCCTTCCATCGCATAATCCCCAACTTTATGCTCCAGGGCGGTGATTTCACTCGCGTAGGCCGATTCAGATCTCTCATTGAGTCCCTGACACTAAATGTCACCGCAGGGTAACGGCACTGGCGGAAAGTCGATCTACGGCGAGAAGTTCGAGGGTGAGTATTTGTGAGATTGATGATTACGTCTTGCTGGTGTTCATTACTGCTTCGTGGTGCATATCAGATGAGAACTTCAAGCTCAAGCACACGAAGCCTGGTATCCTCTCGATGGCAAATGCCGGAAAGAACACCAACGGATCGCAATTTTTCATCACTACGGTCACTACGTCTTGGCTCGACAATGCCCACGTCGTTTTCGGTGCGTTTATCTCCTCATCGATACCATGATGTATGCGATTTGACTTTGATCTCTGCAGGCGAGGTCGTTGAGGGATACGACACCGTAGTCAAGCGGGTCGAGGCGCTTGGTACTGCGTCCGGTACTCCCAAGGCGAAGATCGTCATCGCCGACAGCGGTGTTCTCTAAACGGATGCTTTCCGTCCTCAGCTTAGGTTGGAATGAGAGAAGAAGATAACTATATTGTAAACTATCCCTCGCCGGTGCATAATGTGCATATGTTGGAGATGTACCTACGCAAACTTGCGCCATCAGGCCCCTAGAGCACACACGTGCAGAGAGTTCAAAGATCTTGCCCCAATCTTGTAACTCCGTAAATTTGCGCATATACTCGGGTAAGGTTCAGGCACGATGTGAGATGATAGGTTGGCTGGCGTCTATTCGTGCTGGTTCTCCCGGGACCCGCACAGCTATGGCCGACGAGACTGCAACTTTCTCTAGTGCGATGGCGCTTCAAATTATAACGGAGCTCTCCATTGAACATTCTTGTCCCAAAAATTGCTGAAGACATGACGTGGCAGTCGCCCCTGGCCAGTTTGTCCCGCATTCCATCGTCAGTCACGGCTAGCTCGAATGCTATACTTGCAGGGAGCTGCGTCAAGTTTATGGTGATATGTTTCTGGTACAGTACGATGCATCGGCTGTGCAACTTCCAGTCGAGGCACCTAGCTGTTGGATCCTAAATGCATCAAATGGGCTCCGGAGGTGCAGTCTCGTATCGCAATTATTTAATGTCTAGCCTAGACGTGCAACCTGAGTGAAACACTCATGTTCAGCTGCGGGAAGTTCGTGAAGTGGCTTACCTGAGGACACGCTGATTCTGCGTACTTTTGTACTTCCTATCTCTGAGGACAAACGCTACGCAGCTCACGCGCCAAGACATGCGACTGTGTGGATAGTTTCCAGATGGGTGTTTAGATGCTTCGTTATTTTGACACTCCGTTCCGTCCATTCAGGGCATGACACTTCCGCAGGCCGCCACATATACTGCTCGACGCCGTTGGGTCAGCTTGTACGGCGATGCATGCTGTTTCCATAGCCATCATTCTGATTTGCCAGGCCTTATGTGTGCGGTTGTCATTATCATCTGCAGGACCTGGCAGTGGTAGGTGCAAATGGACCCTACCATCTCACGTGAACTTGACAGGTCCGCTCAGTGGCACTCTTCTTGTACACGTTCTGATTCTTTGATGCAGCGTTGATATTATGACTCAATTTGGCGATCTTATGCGGTAGCAGAACAATACATCCCCCCCGTTTGATGCATCGTCTCAGTCTCACACTGGAAAACACTTACCGATCGTAGGTATGCCACCTTGTCAGTGAATAGCTGAGCTGCCGATCTTAGGCAGGACTAGATCACAGTGGTCAGTACGCCACCAATTTCATGATACATGAACAATATCGAGATTACCTCTTTGGATCTTGACTAATACGGCTGAACAGCCCCTGAGAATGGTGTCAGACAGTCTAGCTGTAGACCTATGACTTTCCCGACAGCCTTCAGCCCCACTGGAGTTTATGGCCGATGATAGCTTGTGACAACGCGTTTTACGACCTATTTAAATCAACAAGCAATTCAGAGATAGTAAATCTAGGTGTTGTAGCACACTGGGGGCCTGTGCGCGTGCTATAGCTGCGGCCGAGCAAAATTATTTGCAGTGGCACAGTTTGAACTCCGACTGGAAATTGAGCGGCGCGCTTGCGGACGTGGCTGATTCTACAGTCACTATAGTGACTAGTAAGTACTGTCATTCTCAGTTTTGCACCGCTAAAGGCAATGTACTGTTTTAGGAACGGTCAATCGTCCTCTTAAGTGGATGTGTGCTGCACGCTGTACAACAATGACACGAGAGCATAGCCATCCTCATTGCGTCCTCGTGTTACGGCACAGCGAAGCTTATATACTTCACAGGCTTGTGCGTGCGCGTGTCCTCTCCTACTCGTCTGTGTTATCACGCTTGCCACTCTTGTTGTTCTACTTATGTATCGTGACGATTCGCCTTCTTCTTTGTCCACCTATCCTAGGAATGAGATTCTCACAGACAGGTCGGAGCCGAGGACTGCTCTGCCACTGAGCGTAGCCGATACCGCCAACGCCCTCTTATACAGTCACACCGTAATGCGGAAAGCCGCGTTTTCGGCCTTTTGTGCAAGGATCAACATGGACCACGCTGACGTTCACCCCGATTCCAAGGACTACAACTTCTTTGTTAAGGAGTACAATGCTGATGTTACAGCATCCCGGCTGATCGAGGCATGGCGGAACCAAGCCCCGGTGTATCCACCTCCAGCGTTCATTGCGGACGCACAACTGGCCGACTATCTTGTTATCGAGCAGGATGGCCCAACCGAAGCGGGAGCATCCCGCGCAGTATCCCCCGTCGACTCGTTCGCGAGTGAGGGGTACGTTTCGGGGTGATTACCGCCCCGCATTGACATTTATTTACACTCTGCATGTACCCTACGGTATGGAGTATAAACCCTGGAATAAAATAAATAAATAAATAAAAAGAGCGTAGCCGATACATTTTGGACTGCAACTGAGATGGCACAAGTGGTTACCACCATCGTACGATCTAGAAACAGGCTCCAAGGTATCTATACATCTTCAGCTATCGAGAATGTGTTGTGTATCAATATATTTGACAAGGCAAGTGGATTGTGTGCTGTCCGTTACGATACCTTCATCTCGTCAATAGTAAAGCTCTTGATGTGAACACGGATACTGCATTATGATTTGAGATTGTCCGTGCGTTGAGGAAACTTTGTTCCATGACAGGTTTGCTCCCGGCATAACTTTACATCCTATCAAGCGATCTACAGTCTGAAAGGGAGCCAAGAGACTATGGTGGCTTTGCGGATGTCTGGCGGAGAGGGTACAAGGATCAGGATGTGGCGTTAAAGGTGGTTCGAGTACGCCAGGATAATCGTGCAAGGCTTCGGAAGGTAAGACAGTTCAAGCTCACCTTAATGCAGCGCTGTGTTGACTCTTGCAGGTATTCGCAAAAGAAGTGATTTGCAGGAAGTATCTTACTCATCCAAATATTGCGCCATTCCTCAGGATCGAAGATACAAACGCAAGACTATGCATGGTGTCCGTATGGATGCACAATGGGAACTTGCCCCGTTATCTGAAAAGCGGTCAGCTCTGCAACCGATTGGAACTAGTTAGTTTCAAGCACCCTTGTAACGCATATAGGTGTACTAAGATGGAACCTAACCGGTTAAGAGAAATTGTCGAGGGATTGCGCTATTTGCATGCGGCTCGTATGGTGCATGGCGACCTTAAAGGCGTAAGTTGCCGTGCTGATTCGCCGATTCCAGTTGTTTGATAATTGTAATCTACTGCAGGCTAATGTTCTGATCAATGATGAGGGATCGGCATGTCTCATCGACTTTGGGCTGACAGCAAGTGTGCACAATGTTGATACTATCGGCGCGATTACTACTACGTCCAATAGTACGGGTTCAACACGATGGATGGCGCCTGAGCTGCTCGACCCCGAGCAGTATGGTCTTGACGAAGCTCGCCTTTCCTACAGAAGGGACGTATATGCTTTGGCGATGGTCATGTACGAGGTAAGTCAGACTCTTCCTAGGCAATTATTTAAGGAAGGTATGAATCCGAGTTGTAGTTATTTTGTGAAAACATTGCATTCCATGAGCTCAAGCTCGACGCTCGAATAATTCAGTGTGTCTTGACAAATAAACGCCCTCTTCGTCCTGAGGCCGTCCCCCTCAAATTTTCAGAGCATATATGGGCACTCATGCAAAAGTGCTGGGCTACAGATCCTTAGACACGCCCTGCTTTGAACGACGTTGTCGAAACGCTCAGCTCATTCGAAAACAAACGTTCTATCATCCTGCATCTATCAGATCGCGACGCAGGTTCGCCTTCGCTGTCGACGCAAGCTCAAAACGGAAGCGAAGTGGATGAACTCGAAGAGACTTCGACGGACGTTTCGTCTCCCGCAATGCTTCATCGTGGAACCAAGCGCCCTGCGCCGGCAGACTTTGTCGACATGAAACCTAGCCCGTTGCGATCACATGCTAGCACTGGGTATAACTCCTACGACTCCCTGTACTATCAACCCCGTCTCGAGCAGAATTCGGGAACGTTTGTTGGGCTGAGTAGTGATGAAGGTGATAAGAATGGTGGCCTACCCGCTCGCGATGGATTGAATCTTGCCCGTACGAACTCCCAGGCCGGTTCATCGACGACACGTCAGTTTGAATTCCAAGCAGAAAGCGCGTCTTTTACTATAGCGCTTTCAGGGGAATTGTCACCAGAAGCGGTGCTCGAGAAAGAAATTGAAAGGATGCGCGAATTGATTGCTGAGCGGGAGCGGAATCGTCTAAGAAAAGTTGTCTGAATCTACAGGCAATTCTGCAACTCCTATTGGTCTTCCTTGTCGATGTGTAAAATATTATATATAACCGATGTCGAGTAAGCGGAAGACTGAACAGCGCGGGCGATGATGTAAATCGTTATCGTATCGCAAGTTACCGTATTTAGAATGATTGTAAGTGTTATAAGGAACGGGTATAGTAAGAAAATAATTACGTAATATTATTTGTTTATGGCAACAGAATGTCTTAGCAAACATATTGCGACAATAATGCATCCCAAACCTGAATCATGGCCATTAATTTGCTCGTGCCCTGATTGCGGAGAGAAATCCGCTCGCGCAGACGTACCTACCACTAGGATATTTTCGGAGCAGTTTCGACCACTGTCATTGCACACTGACTCACCATGCCACCAGTAACTATCATAGGTAGCACGATTCATTTGGGCAATGAATTTGCACTGTTACCTGTATATTCTTACCCGCCAGCAAGAATGTATAGAGCCGATTGTCATGGACTCGCGAGAACTGCATCCTACAGCACGTTAACGGACGTGTAACATTATGCATCGAAGCCAGGCTGAATAATTCAGAAACTGACGTTTTCACGATTGGAGAAGGCCAAAATTTTACATCGATACTGGCTATGATGACTCATGAGTTCCATGAAGTCCCCCCACCTCCTGCGGGAGGATGAATGGTGGCCATTCAATTGCCGCATGGATCGTATGTGTGATGATCGAGTTGATGCCAAACTCCCAGCTAGACGAGATTATTTCGGTATTCAGTCTCATATTTTCCTATGCAATATTCCCTTCTATACATAATAATATACACATACACCAGTACACCAGTATTTCTTCAACTCCAGAGTTTACAACATTAGTCGTCCGTCAGGGCACATCTATCGACGGACAGGTTCTCTGGGTTGCCCCACCTTAAATAGAGATGGTAAGCCAGAGTTTTCCTCTGCGAGATTGAGTCTCACCAGTATGGAAATGGAACGGCTGTGTTGCTTGCTCCAAAGACCGCGAAGCTCTGCAAAGGGATCAGCAGGTGGTACAGGAAGCACCGTAATTTCATGCATACCAGAATGAACATAATGACCTGGCTCCCTCCATCGAGCGCCGCCGACGTAAGATAGTTGTACTTCTTGAACCAGGCGGGTCTATATGTCCTAGCCCACCATTGGGACGCAAACCCAATCACGACGCATGACCTATGCGAGCGCTTAGTATACATTGGCAGTCGTGAGCGTAGACTCCTACCACCACTGCCCATTCACTGAATATGGAAGATATCCAGCATACAGGGCGATGATCGGCGTGTTGATATATGCCGCGCATTTGGCGATGTTCGAACCTGGCTTTGCATACCTATGTATCAACCAGAATGGGACAGGAAACGCGAGGCCGACGAATATGGCAAACGCTAGCATGTAGTACGGTTTTCCATATGTGAATCTGGATGCCTTTTCAGCCAGGACTCGCCGATGCTAGTTAGGAAGCATACAGTTCTTCCCCAAGAGCACCCATAGCCACTGACGCCGAGTTATAGCTTTGTATAATCCATCCGCTCCACTGAAAAAGCTAGATATTAGATTTGGGGTGACAGCCAGAAAAGGTCATATACGTACGATACGAGTTCCGACTGGGTTTTGCAGAACTGCTCTATTGTTGTCGACTATGGAGATCATCACTGCAGAGCGTGAGTCTAGAAATTAAATTGAATAAGAGGAGACATACTAGCGTAGTTAAAAATTGATCCAATAATCGAGCCAGCCATCTGTGCCGCAAATGTTGTCCGTGGGGGAAGCTTGGTATACTGCCCTAACTTCAAATCTAAGTACAATGTACATGAGCATGGCGTTTTTACCGGATAATCGTCCTAAAAAGACTGCGCTCACCTTGCAACATGTATAGCGTTTGGTACGCCGTACTATTGCCATACAAGTTGACGTACATGACAGCGCTATGTGATACAGAATTTCTCTGCCCATGAGTGGGGGTTCGCGGGATTGGTTACAAAGTAACTTGACTCACACTGGGTTACCTGGATGAATGAAAGCAGCCAGTATTTGGATGGCATATTTGACAGAGATACTAAATCCGGTTGTCGCCATGACTGGTGGGCATAAATGCGCGTTTTCAGTACGGATGCCATTGATCGCACGAACGTAACGCACTGAAGCCAAGGCAAATAGCGAGGAAAAAGCTGATCACAGTGAACAAAATAATACTCCACCAAGGTATGAGCGCGGTCCCCGTCGTGTACTGTTCGTGTAGTCGGCATTAATGTCCCGCAAGCACTTGAACAAACAAATCATCATGGCGCACACTACATCCGATGCCAACGCCAATGGACACGACGAATAAGGCAATGTACCACCACTGCGGAACCTCACGGTACTTTTTCATCTCTGCAGTTGTTCCGGATCAGCCAAAATCCTGCTGTTAATGAGGCACGGACCTTGGTAGTGTGGATCGTCAATATCATGTGAGTTCTGAAGGAAGTTCATTTGACCGAAGGCTAAAATACAGAAGTTAGTCGTGTCGTAACAATCCTCAACGGTAGAGCAAGTATTAAATCTCGAAGTTAGATTAATAACTGACCATTCTTCAAATCACCCCAATACCAAAGCAGGACATGTACGATGGCCGCACCCAAACTGAAATTGTAGCACATTTGACTTATCGCGTACGTTGTCGAAAACCTCGGCAGTCCGACCTCTGCAAGCTTTGTGGGATCAAGCTGATTATCGGGCGTCAAAATTGCGCTTTGGTTGTAAGTACTTCCATTGCCCCCAAATAACGCCGTGGACATGAAAACAAGATCACGACCATTGAAAACATTCCAGTAGTAGCACACGGTGAGCACGACATAGCCAATGGCCATGCCAACTGGGAATTAAGTTAATGCACAGAATAATCTCTGGAAACACTGGTACAACGCACTGTATGAGTTCACCTCTAAAGCCCAGAAAATAAAGTCAGTCTTGTGAGACTGAGATTCGAAGCGTGGACATACGCGTTTGGAGAGGCCATACAAGAGGATAGCCTTGTGTAATGAGCGTCCAACTTGTGCTAAAGCTCAACAAGCCAATGCCTTCATTACTGGATCCACCACCGAACAGGTTGCGCACAAATATAGACCGCCCATTATCTATGAGGCAAACGACGGATATTGCTGTCAGAAGCGGAAAGGGATATTGTGGAATCCTGTATCGAATTGTGTATATCAGCTCGGAACGTTACGGATTCCCAATATTCCCTGACGCACCATTCCCAGCAGAAAATAGCGGCGAACTAAGAAGATTTGAATCTGTCACACCCCATTTTTACTTGATATACTTACGACGATCCAGAAATATTTCCTAACAAGATTCTGTAAGCAATAATAAAACAACACTCATAGACTAAATTTTCACCTTCGCTTCTGGTTAAGAACTCCCCCATAATGCAGACTTTGCAAAAGATTGACAACAGATATATATGTTGGGTAGAACGCGCTACATATCGTGTTAGATTTTGCACACAAGGTATTGGAAATCGTTCCTTTGACTTACTAGGTGGGGTATACAAGAAGGGATCGCACTCAAGGCAACGGCATGAATTAGAGCTTAGGTGGAATTTGAGAGGACTCACAAACACCAGCTATACCATACCCAATCATTTGACTAGCGAAAATCTGGAAGATCGCTACTGCTCCGTTTAATCGGATATCATAGAAGAGATCTGAGCATGTGTATGAGTCAAGCGTGATACACTAGAATCAATTGTAGATCATACTGACTCAACGCTGCGATAACTTCCATGGCAACTGCCACAGTCGACGCAGTCGACGCCATAATGACAATGATTGTATGCTCTTAGAACGAAAGTGTAAGGTGACGATTCGTATGATCGTGGGCGCAGAGTTACCTTTGATATTAAACGGTCCCGGGTTGAGATATTTCCAATAACCATGCGAAGGGATGATAGCTGGGATTTTGGGACGAATAAATTAGGGTGCGAGACCACTAGGGATTCATACATACCAGCCATCAGAGTTCCAAGAATATATGCAATGATGAGGCAAAACAATTGAGATACCGAGGCGTTCTGCAGGTGTGGTCAACTAGTGGTCATGTAAACTTATGAATTTGTTTAACGCACCTGAGGTTTAAAAGTATAAATTGTGGCAAGAACTGCGCCGAACGCGCTAAGTCCAGTCCCCAAGAACATGGCACGGAAAGTGAACACAGGTAATTCGGGATGGTCTTCCGTTGAGAGGATCTCAAGTTTTGATCATTATGAAGTTATACATTGCCCTATGATTGCAACACACCTCTATCGCAACATCCTCTGCTTTGCGAATGATTTTCACTTCAGAATCTGTGTCAACATCAGACGAGGCTTCAGTGATGTCGATCTTCTCCTCGACGAATCCATCTTTCCCTTCGTTTGTCTTCTCGATCGAACTGGCCGAAGATTCGCGCAGCAGCAGCTCCGGAACGTCGCCGGATATCGGTAGCGACATCAGGACAGACGGTTATGCCAGAAGAGAGGAGGACAGAGAGAAGATGCCTGCGAATATCAGTTCCCTCCAGCCTTGACCACCAGGTACTTTACGTAGCTCAGAGTCTTCTTGATACAGCCATATCGCTATCTCCATCTGCTCGGTGGAGAAGCATGATAAGCCCCCGTTCTGCATGCTGTCTAGCCTGATAAGAAAAAGTAACCTCAGCGCACCTCTGGCATGCCAATCATAGGACGATGGGGCCAGGTGACGAGATCGCTGATGCCTTTGACTAATCTCCGTCGCCTAGCACTTGAAGTCCATATCGACAGCGGGCGTACAGACAATGTACTCACGTGCCAAGAGCGCTGGTTCAGAGTTCACATACACAATAGGATTCTCCGACTCGGACATTCATGCATAGCGGTTCGATAGTAGTTACCAGGCATTCCATCTTGTTGAGTGCAAATTTGGCACGATAAGAGCAGTGGAGTCGAATTGATTATCTTAGGATATCCAGGTCTCCGTCGGTTTTACAAAAGCGCGTGATATATGAATACCAGCCCTCAGGTGAACCATGAAGCATCATATTTGCGGATGCAATTGAAGGGATCATTGCTATAAGCCAAATTGAAGAAGTCGATGATTGGATCAAGGAAGCAGCCTCACTCACAGTTCGTCAGTCAACACCCCTGGCATGCATCACGCGAACAGCGCTCGCGCGTCCGTGAAGAGAGTTGTTGATTAAACACAGGACACCCAAGTAGGAAAAGGATTGTTAATGATAACGAGCGACGCAGAGCTAGATCATACCAAGCTCCATTACAGGAAGTCTACACCAATCCCTACCTGTAGCCCTCTCCTAACGCTATCGCTCTTACTCGCAAGCAATGGTACGCCAACATTCATCTCGATCCTAACTGGGTCCAGCTTGTACACCAGACCTAAACCGGCAGATATTGATGGCTTTGTTATACTGCTAACGACGTTGTCCACGAACGTTTTCGCTGCAAGGCCCCGCCAAATCAGCTCATTTCCTACACAAGAGCGTGTAGACGAACACGTATCCATGGCATCTAGCCTGCCCGCATTCACGAACAAATGTGTCTTGACTGGCCAATGTGGTTTGTGCGGAACGTCGGAAATCAGGCTAACTCCAGCAGCCCAATACAAATCGCCCCCGAGAGAGTCCGCTAGGAGAAAGACATTGAAGACCGAAGAAATATAGCGACTAGTATGAACACTCACGCCCATCGCGAGGCCCCATCCCATTAGCTCTGAACATCCTCACATTCGTTGGGCCACCCAACTGGAAGCGATCAGGGAATAGAGCGGGCTTCCATAAACTGTGCAGAATGCCGGAACGCGCAGCAAAGGAGACGATCTACGAACATGATTAGCAAATGAAGTCACAGCTCCTAGAAATTGTACTTACCGTTCCAGGGAAAAGTGACCTGGAGAGCTGACTCTGTATTTCACCCTTATAGAAAGACGCGTCACCAAGCAGGCCAGCGTATTCCTGAGAGATTTTGAAATACGATCCTCGAGTCCCGAGTAATGCATCGTCGCGAGTATCACGCGTCCATGAATGAGATATTGCAGACTTGAGGCTCTGCCCTGCAGCTTCCCTCATACTGATTGAAACTACTTAGTGGATATCGCACCTGACGACGAAGTACTCACCTAATAGATGCCGAGGGTGTTAAGTTTCCGATGTGTCTTAACACAGCTTCGTAGCCAACTTCATGCATGCCACGCAACAGTTTGCCATGCTTAGCAAAACAAAGACAGAATCATTCACCAGCCGCGCAGTATCTTAAAGTAAAGCTGACCTAGCTTACCCTTACAACTGCCTTAAATCCACGCAGTCCTTCTGAGCTACTAGAGTAACTCGAATTGTCTCGCTCCGCTCCATAGATGGACAGCTCGCCTCTCGTCGTAAGAGAAGATGGCAATGGAGCCGAAAGGGACGCGTTAAATGAAACGCGCGTTTTAGTTGCAAAAGCTAGATTCGCCTCGAATGTTTCTGCACCGCCGAACGCGTTACGGACACGACACGTTGCACTCTAAGTTCGAGTTCATCAAGGCGCAAGCTGGGGGAAGAAAGCATACATACAGCACCACCTTCGTTATTCCCGACTTGTGTGCTGGTATTCAAGTAATATCGACCCTTCTCCAGCGTCTTGAACACGACGTCCACGTCGCCTGATTGCGCCAAGGCGTCGCGACTGGGCTCTAGCCTGCCCTCGACGCTCTTGAACAGGTCAGTCTCCTGCAAGAGGCTGCCAATGTGTCTAGTAGTGTGCAAGACATGCTCAAGGGTTGGTGCGTTTTCCGTAATGGACGGCACAGGTTTTGCTAGAAATGGAGTGACAAGAGAACTCAGGAACGATTTCCGGGTGTTGACTGCTCCTTCTATCCGGACTGAAGCAATTCGGAGCGGTGTGGAGAGATTAGCGTTAATCTATGGAGAAATTGAGAATTTTCTTTGGGCAAATATGAAAGCGACTCACCACCTCAGCCAAGTGGAGCACGGCCGACTCATATTCACCACGAAGCTTCCTTGCAATGCGGTCTTCCTGCCATCTTCTGAGCCTTTCAGTGTCCACTATATCAGGCTCTTTGTCACGAGGCGCTGAGGTGGTAGCTAGTGGTGGGTTCAGCGGTGGAGGAGATAGTTCAGACGGAGCCTCCATGGGACGTCTTTGCGAAAGGAGGGATTCAACGGCTCGGCCAGTCGCCCGGTGACCTGACGTAAGCACAGCGCGAGCGCGAACTCGGCCGAGGGCGGCAAGAGGGGCGTGAGCTGGCAGGGACCCCGGAGACGCGGGGACGCAGCGAGTGCGCGAAAGGGCGAGACGAGTGTGCATCTAAAACACCAAGAGCATAACAGAACAGCCAAAGAGCAGTACGGCGAACCTGTGAGAGAGAGCCCTCGGACGTCAGTACAGAGGAAATTGAAGAAGGCTGCTAAGGGCTGCTAAGGGCGCTGCTACGCGAGGACTGGCTCGAGCCCAGCTTTACTCGATCAATCACGATTCGTCGTCTTTGGATCCTGATAATATTATCTGCTCCCGCGAGGTATGTCGACGGGACTTTCCTGATCGCCATAATGATTATCAAAATCTCGGATTAGGCTGTCCTCCGAAGACCTGATCCAAATGGCAGTCCGCGGTAATCCCTTCTTTATCGACAATTCATTTCAGACACACCATTTTCAGTCTCGTATGGAGTACCGCGTCGCCGGTCGGTATCGGACGCAATTTTTATTACCTGAGCCTGCCCCAGGTCGTATCGGTGAACCATGGGGATCTTTGTATCCTCCGACGTGAGAGGATCCGAAGCGTCGTAACGGATTACAGCTCGAGTCTTTCATGCCGTTTGTGGTACGTTTGTTTATGATACGCTGGTAGCTATCAACGGGGATGCTTCTCTAATAGTGGACTCGAGTTCTGATAGATTTGACTGTCTTCTAGAGCTCTGTATCGTGATTTTTTTTTACCCCAGCTGTGCAATTGTATATTCAAATATCCCACTACGTCCAAATCCGGGCTGATCAACATCTAATTCGACGAACAATCTCACTTCTGAAGAGTATCTATGCGCCCGTGTTAGTCGAGCTCCAGATAGGCTTGAGAGCTTCGATGTTCTCCTTGACGCTGTTGACCTTCTGGAGCATCCACTCTCCACAGTCCGGCCCCATGGGGAGCCTCATCCATTCTCTCTTCCCACCCTTCCCTTCAACGAGACCTTTCGCCAGGCCGGTCCCATACACAACCTCGTAGATCCTGGCCGATAATTTCTCCAGATCTCCGATGCTATTACTCTCGAGCTTGGACTGCGGCACCGCCTCGATCGTACCGAAGCCCTGGGAGGGATCTGTATAGATCCTTGACTCCTTGTACGCGACGGCTGCGGTTGTCTTGAAAAATTCGGAGGGAAAGTATCCCGGCTCGACGATGATGACGCGGATCCCGAAAAGCTCGAGCTCGCGGCTGAGCGATTCGGAGAACAGCTCAAACGCGGCCTTGGAGGCGCAATACGCGCCCCACGACCCCGCACCGTCGAAGCCGACGACGGAGGAGAAGTTGAAGATGTGCCCGGCGCGCTGAGCGCGGAACGCGGGAAGCAGCGCCTGCGTGAATGCAAGCTGGCCAAAGACATTCGCCTGGAACTGTGCGCGCACGTCGTTCAGACTATGGGAGATGGGTGGGTCAGTGTCCACTCCCACTGTTGCCCAAGATAGGCAGAACTCACTCAAGCTCCTCCACAGGTCCGTGAATACCGTAGCCGGCGTTGTTGACGAGTACGTCAACGCGGCCGTAGACTCTGAGTGCCTCCTGGCTGGCCTTTTTGACGACATCGTCAGACGCGTTCAGGTCGACGATAATTGGCTGTGCGCCTCCGTTGCGGAGGCTCTCAGGGAACTTTGAGATGTTTCTCACAGTCGCGACGACCTACAATATTCCATCAGTCACTGGTTGGATGCAAAACACAGATTGTAGACTCGCCTTGTCACCCTGTGCAAGAACGTATTTTGCAAGGGCAAGGCCAATACCGGAGTTTGCTCCAGTGATGAGCCAAACTTTCTGCGACGACATGGTTTGTTATGAGAATTGGGTTATGAATGGAGTGTGCAAGTCTGCGAGCTGTGCTTATTGGGCTGGTGCTCGCTGGTGTGCCCTTTTATGTGTTTTCTAGGCTCTGCTCCCTACCGGAGAGGACGCAGTTTTCACTTACCCTTGCTCCCTATGATGATGAAGCTGCAGGTTCTCATACCCCGGTGCGACCGGCGATCGGGGATCCGACTGCGAGCGAGAATGGACGAAGCTCTGCTCATAGTGTCTTTGACGCTTTGGGGTGTATACTCGCACAATTCCAAACTTACTGGCTTAGTAAGTGGCGTCTTATGCGTGCGTTACGTGGGGCACCTCACGCATGCGAGTACACTTCCGCGGCTGCGCCGGTGGCGGCTCCCCGATCGGGGATCGGCGTTATGCGATGGGTCTAGATCTTCAATAAAAGAATGGCGTAATTACGAAATGCTCACGGTTCAGGTTAAAAAGCAGCCTTGAGGCTGACTGTCGGATCTCTCTGACCACAATGCTCAGGTCAGGGCAGAGTCGACGATTGCTCCATTCCGTGCCAAACATCAGTTCTAGCTGGCGACTCTCATCCGATTCATATTACAGGACTTGCTGCGATTCCTTGGTCGAGTCCGGATACTCGTTCATGATAGTGTGGTGGGGTATGGACGCACCTGCCACAAGCCATGAGATGAAGTGACTCAAACGCGGGGAAAAGAGACAAGATGGCGCTGAGAAGCTTCAGCAGAGGTACTGTAATGTTTCTCAACGATCCTTGACAATGGCAGTAATGGATAGTATGTGACCAAAATAGGTTTGTCTGTATATGGACAACGAATGTGATTTCAAAAGCACGTCCAGGCTGTTGGATCTATCGACTACTCAGCGCAGACTAACACACTATGGGATGTGCTGGGCAGCACTGATTTACACATTATTCACTACGTGGCATCTCTCCGGGAAGCGCCATGGTCGAGACTTCTAGATCAACAGCAATAGGAAACGCTTACCGCGCTCTACAGCCACCAGATCTATGTCTGTTATGCAATATGCCATTGACTCTGGTCAGATGTGGATGTCATAGTGCCGTGGCGACTGTCAGGTGATGATCGTGTCTCGGGCTCAAATGAAGCCTGTTGGATAGAACACTTGTACATTCTCCTCTCCTGCATTGATCCATTTCCTTATGTCAAGCCGACGATGCCTGTGGTCGTGCTTGCTAAGCGATTGATGCCAGAGTAACAGGGGACGTAGGGGGGTGCGCATCATGCTCTACATGGAGCCATGGAGCCTGCCCTGGACGAACGTCCTAGACATACGTACACCTAAGCGTCCGTCCAATCTGTATCTTCTACTGTAGCGCCGCAATCATAACTGGCACGTATGTGAGCTATCGAAATTTGCAGCGTCAGAATCACACCCAACAATTAATCGCGCATGGCGCGACCGCAATGCTGCGCAGAGAAACCCTGTCCCTCTGCTACTGCTATTTTCTAGGCTGATGGAAGCCTCTACTCTGGACCGTTCCCCTGCTGCTCTGACGACATGGACGGGCTCGAGCGGATATGCACGAAACTTGGATCCACTCGAGCACTAGACGTGGTGATAGGTCGAAGCGTAGCGTTCGCGCGCCCACAGACGACCGCGCTCCGAGCACACATCGAGAAGAAATAAAGCCCCAGGAAGCACAGAAATGCACGACCCTGCGCCGTGCATCGCATTCTAGCGCGCCACAGCCCGTCGCACTGATGGAACGGTGCGCCAGCGCGTGTCGTCCGAGACAACGTTCAAGTTCCTCGCCGCCCTACGCCGGTGGGACATGTGGAGACTGCGTCAGGTGCTCCGTCCAGGCAGCGTCGGCGGAACATTGATCGCGCGAAGCTGGGTCGCGACGGGGTAGTCGCCGGACCAACTGCGACGCACGAGCGACCCGAGACGTCCATGTGCGCGTGCACTCCTAGTCGTGCCTGGAAAAATGAACTTCTTCCGCCGTCAATGTCGCTCGAGAACAACCCGGGAGCAACACGCACCACGCGTGATCTTCTCATGGTATGCGCAGGAGACCGTTGGCAACCGACGCGCTTGGATGGGTGGCGGCCGGATAGTGTGGTAAAGGGAGGACACACAGGCCGTGGCAGTTGTGAGATGGATGGCGTCGCCACTCTGTGCTAGAACGAATCATCAGAGCTAGCTAGATTCTTTGGAATGTACGAGCACGAACTCGAGAGTAACGACCGGTGTGATTAGATCCACGCTGTAGCTGCAGAATGAGAACTACGACTCGGAGCAATGTACCAAGCAACAATTTCTAGAAATGCATCTATACGGAGGATCCCATATAAATGAGAGGATGGGAACACGAAGACATGGATTTTAGAGAAAAGCATAGGGGATAATAAATACTCGAGCATATGTTTTTTGTATAATTTTAGAACAGCCTCATAACAGGCTCGGGGTGTCCTCGTGACGCAAAGACGACGGGGGAGAAGACGATTCCGAGACACATACTAGCTCGCATAGCGGGAGGCTAGTTCATTTCCCGGATCTCTTGCTGTAACCTCGCGACCTGGGTGTCTGCGCACCGCGCGCGTCAGCGCTCCCGCACACCGAGCACACACCGCGCGCACTCACCCATAAGCGGGGACGTGTCCGCAAACACCGTCATGGCGGCCAGGACCCTCTGCAGCGCGGCGACATGCGCGCCATGTTCCCACTCGACCTGCTGGAGCCGGAGTCCCGCCGCGGCCTGGCCCTCCACGAGCGCGGCCGACGTCCACACCCCCCGCAGCCGGACCACCTCCCCGACGAACACCCGGCCCACGGCCGCCCACAGGATCTGCAACCGCCCGGACACAGTCAGCGCGCGCGCCTGCGCCCAGCACACACAGCGCAGCCCGGGGACTCACCGCCATGATGGGGTCGA